ATAGAGACAATACTTAAGAATATATTACAAAGATTTAAGTGAGCGAAAATAAGGACAGGAAATAGGAGAGGATGAAATTCAAGAGACTTCTCTGAGCTGGAATAAGCAACACTTGCTCAATTAGTTGTAGACAGCATAGGAGGTGAAGGAGAAATTAAAAATGACTCTAATGTTTTTTAGCCAATTGAATAAACAAGATATCACTAACTGATGCAGAAGAGTTAGGAGGAAATGTTGAGAGTGAAGATTGGAGTAAATAAAAGCAATAAATCTAGCCTTGGACCAGCTGAATTTGAGGTATTTATAATAAATCTCAAAGGCTATCTACAGAACCATGGTTCTCGAAGTGTCATTACCCAGACAGCAGCACCAGCAACATCTGAGAACTTGGTTAGAAATGCAAATTCTCAGCCCTCACTCCCAACCTACCAAAGTCAGGGACCCTGGGGGTGAGGTTCAGCAATCACCATTTTTACGAGCTCTGCAGGTGATTCCCATGCCTGTTCAAATTGGAGAACTAGTGCTGTGGGAAATCTCAAGCAAGGTCACAATTGGAAGCAGAAACCAACAGCAACAAAATCACAGGTAGAAAGTGGTCTGAGAATGAAACAGGGATTCATCTTTCTCTCAGACAAAACAGAAAATGTTGATAAAGCTATTAGTACATTCTGATGTGAAGAGAGGAGAAAGCTAAGGAATTCACGCTTTGTGGCCTCTACTTTCTTTATGAAATAGGATCAGCTACTGAGAACAGCAGGAGGGCAGTGGGAAACCTGAAGAAATAGTTTATGTTCTGTGTCTATATTTTCTCTCTTTGGATGACTTTGGAGTCACTGAAAGCAGTGAGTGTACTTTGTAATTCTCTGAGTTCAACACAGATGCTAGTAAAGAAGTCACTCAACAAACATACCTGATTAGATTAAAAAAAAAAACTAGCAAAAGCTGTCAGAGTTCAGTCTAACTGTTTTTTATTGAGAAGTTTTACAGTTCCTAGGATGCTCTGGCAAAGGATTAACATTATTCATAGCATTTTATTAAGTTCCTAGGCTTACTGGCATTTTACCTTTCTATTTTTATCATAATCATATTTCTGGATAATACAAATTATTTGACTAACAAACCCCATTTTTAAAGAAAAAGTTAAATTTCCAGAATGCAAAGACTATGCACACAAATCAACAGGATTCTACTACTATGTGTTTATCACTGTGCCAGATGCCATGCTGGATATATTAAAAGAACAAGGAAAATAATGCTTGATGAAAGTCATGTGCCAAGCCCTGTGCTAGCTACATCCTATCTATTACCTCACTTAATCTTCACCATGAAGTATGTTTATCTCCACTCTTCTACTCCAAGGAGCTTATTGTCTTTATGAAAGAATGAAGACTAACACACTCCAAACACAAAACAATTAAAAGTTAAGAAAAAGACAAAATGAAGAAATCACTGACTGTTGAAATCATTAACTGTTGACTGAAGGGAAAGAATTAATTTCTCTTATTATTAAGCTGGCATGCTGATATTTCAAAAAGAAAATAAAAATGTATTCTGACAACAAAAGAGCTATGTATTCAGTTACATCACTGTCAAACCAACCCCCTAGGTAAGTCCTTTTACCGCTCTGCCAGTTCCCAGTCCTCCTGAATTTGCTTCTGCCTGGCTTTGTGGTACTCCTCCCTCCAGCACTTGGAGCAGAAACCCTGCCAAGCAGGGTTGCCATAGTAACCACATCCTTTCTTGCATAGGAGCTCTGATTGATCCACATGAATTCCTCGGCGTTCAGACTTAAGGCTCATCTTCTTCCTGCTAATCAAATAACAAGAAAATGTTGTTGAAAATGAATTCACTATCATTCTACTAACAGCAAAGCAATTAAGAAGAAAAAAACAAGTGAGTCTATCATCTTCAATCTAGAAGGGATGGAAGGAGATAAGGAGGGAGGGAAGGAGGGAAAAAAAGTTTAAATACAGCAAATTCCTGATGTAGTCATACTGAAGAACAAACTTCTTATTCCTGCCAAACAATAACATTTTAAAAAAGGACTAATATTGGATTAAACATAAGATATGAAACTATAAAATTCCTTGAAGATAAACATAGGGGAAAAGCTTCATAACATTGGATTTGGTGACAATTTCTTGCCCGTAATACCAAAAACACAAGCAATAAAGCAAAAATAGACAAATGGGACTGTATCAAACTTATAAAATTCTGCACAAAAAAAGGAACAATCAATAGAGAAGGCAATCTATGGAATGGGACAAAATATATGCCAACCATATATCTGATATGAGGTTACTATCCAGAATATATAAAGAACTTCTACAATTCAACAACAACAAAAATAAAAAAAATCCATTTAAAAATTAGCAAAGGACTTAAATAGACAATTCTCCAAAGATGATATACAAATAGCCAATTAACATGTGAAAAGATGCTCAATATCAATAATCATCAGGGAAATTTAAATCAAAATTATAACAGATCACCACACATCTGTCAGAATGGATATTGTCAAAGAGACAAGAAATAGCAAGTGTGGTGATGATGTGAAGAAACTGGAACCCTTGTTCACAGTTGGTGGGAATGTAAAATGGAGGGTCCTCAAAAAATTAAAAATAGAATCACCATATTATCCTGCAATCTTACTTCTGGGTATATACCCAAAAGAACTGAAAACAGGATCTTGAAGAGATATTTGCACACTCATGTTCATTGAATATTAGTCACAAAAGCCAAGAATTAGAAGCAACCTAAATATCCATCAAAGGATAAATGGATAAAGATAGGATGAATGGATGAATAAAATGTGGGACATACAGTGGAACATTATTCAGCCTTAAAAAGGAAGGAAACTCTTGTCACATGTTACAACATGGATGAACCTTGAGGACATTATGTCAGGTAGAATGAGCCAGTCACAAAAAGGTAAATACTACATGATTCCACCTACATGAGGTATCTGAAGTAGCCAAACTCTTAGAACCAGAAAGTAGAATGACGGTTGCCAGGGGCTGGGGGGGTAGGGAAGCAAAGAGGAGTTGCTATTCAATGGGTATAGAGTTTCAGTTCTGCCAGACAAAAAAAGCTCTAGAGATCTACTGCACAACAAGGTGCATATAGTTAACACTACTCTACTGTACCCTTCAAAAATGGTTAAGATAGTAAACTTTATGTTATGTCTTTTCACCACACACACAAAAAAATTTAATATTTTTTAAAAAGGAGGCCAAAAGAGCCTTCCTAGTTGCTACCAAAAAAAAAAAAAACTTTACATTTTAAGCCTAAGGGACAAAGTACAATTTTCTTGAAATACTTTGTGTTCTTAGCATACTATGTTATTTGGCTCAAAAAGACAACTTCATTTCAATGACATAAAAGTGAATAGTTTGGGGGGAGGGTATAGCTCAGTGGCAGAGTGCATGTTTAGCATGCACAAAATACTGGGTTCGATTTCCAGTACCTCAACTGAAAAACAAACAAACAAATAAATAAATCTAATTACCTCCCCACCATAAAAAAAAATTAAAAACTTTTTTAACTTAATAGTTTGTCATTAAATTAAATAATTTAACATTCACCAAGAAAAACGAGTGTAATTAAAGCATCAGAATAGAGTCTAAACTCCTTGAGATTCAAGGTCCTCAACAGTCTAGGACAAATTACTATATGCCTACTATTTGCCACCACTCATTACATGCCTAATATTGTGACAGTACTCAATATAATTATTTCTCACAAAAAGCAGAGTAGATATTATCTTCGTTTTATTAGATGTGAAAACTCATAACCAAAAATAGATGCAGACTGAACAATGTAGAAAAACAGAAAAGAGCTATGAAACCATGGAGGAAGAAGGCAGAGTAATTCTGACTTGCAGAGTATGGAGAGACCATATGGGCCAGGGAACGAGGTGGGAGGAGATGCAGACCTCCAGGAGCCTTGAGTTGAAGCTTAAAGAGACTTGGAGTGGTTACACAAAAGAGGAAAGACATTCCAGACAGGAAAGACATCTTTCACAAAAAGCTCAAAGACAAGAATGAAGAACATGAATAATGTGGTATAAGTAGGAGGTAAACGGAAGAAATTAGGTGTCAAGTCCAGTTATGGTGGTTTTTTTAAATTCCAGGTTAGAGTCTGGATTACAGCATCTCTGTTTCAATGAAAAGGGGAAATCATGATAAGATATCTATTTTAAGACATGAAACTTGAGGTGGAGTTCTGTCTTCCAGTATGATGAAGTGAGGAAGACAATAAATCCTCTCCCCCCAAATCAACTATAAAGATAGACAAAACTTCCTCTCGGCTGATGGAACAAAGTGTGAGCCAAGGAATGCATCCAAACTTCAAGCCACCAGCTCCCTCCACTGGGCTCTCTTGTGTCCCCTGTGCATACACACAGGTGCTGTTGGCCAGAAGACCAGAAGCCTTACTGATTAGACATGTTTGTGCACAAATTCAATCTTCGTCTGAACAAACAACAATCTTTGGCTGAACATTAAGGTATGCAGGCACAGTGGTGACCCCTAGGAGGAAGTCAAGGATAAAAATAAAAACAAGAGGAAAAAAGGACAGACATCAGTGACCAGATGTTGTGGGGGAGAGATTTCACAGGTTTAGTCCAGCTATAAACCTAGATGGTATGCACTAAGCACTACTTTGGCGGTTTCTCAAAGGCAAAAGGAAAGAGGAGAATTGAGAAGACCAGAACTCAATGTATGACTGAACCTTGGTGAGTTTAGCGTTTTTTCCTCTCCAGTATCACCAAGTCAAGCCAGAAATGGACAGCAGGGCACAGAGGAAGCTCCTCTAGTCCTGGCTCAAGGAATGAGAAAGGAAACTCTCTAACAGTGAGAGAAAATATGAAAATCCCTCCACTTTATTGTCTTTCTCCCTTCTCTTGAGCCACAGCATCCAAGCAATCACATGGTGTCCATAGCAGTGGCTGGAATGAGAGACTGCAGGACCTAAACTCTGAGGAAGCGGAACTATCCATTTTTCCCACTCTCTATCCTCCCATTTCTAGGCCCCAAATGTGCAGACAGTGACGGAAGTACAAGACAAAGTGGGGTAACTAACTCCAAAGTTTCCCACCCAGAGGAAAGATAAGCCCATAGGGAAAAAAATACAAGAGAAATCACTGAGAAGGAGAACTCAAGAAAGTAAGCTAAAAACGTTGTCTGTGAACTTCTGGACTCACCCCAAACCATGTGTGCATGGATCTGATGCTATTAGAGACCAAAGATTAAAATGCATATAGAGACCACTGCACAGGTCTCAGACTGGGACACAGGAAACTAGCGCTGCAAAATAGCACTGCGAAGGCTTTGAAAAATGAATTGACATTGGAACCACAGCCCAAAGAAGATGGGTTGGAACTTGCAGCAAAACTAAAAATTTTGCTCTGTGAAGCTGGGAAAATGAAAAGACAAACTACAGACTAGGGAGAAAATACTTGCAAACCATATATTTGACAAAGGACTTGCATCCAGAATATATAAAGTATTATCAAAACTCAACAGAAAGAAAAACCACCCAGTTTTAAAAATGGACAAAAGACTTCAACAGACACTTATCCAAAGAAGGTATACATGCTGGGAGACAATTCTTCATGGGTGTCTCACATTTCTGAACAAGAGGCCTTGTAATGGACTATCTTCAAGGATGTCTGCATATTTAACACTCTCAGAAGAAACAGATGACTATCTCCCTTCAGAGCAGAGGGCAAGTTTGTTTACTGTTCAGTACAATAGATAAAATATTTCCCTCTGGGTCAAAAGTCAGGTGGGTTTGTTTGTGGCCCACTATAAAAGATTTAGGTTCTGTAAGCTTAGGTTCCTCAGTTGTGACATTAGTCCCAAGTGACTTAGGGGCAAGGGTAGCCCATGTGAAGATGAAGATTGCTTTACTGATGTCCTGTGAATAACAAAGTGCTTTGTCTCTGACTCCAGAATCTCATGACTTCTGCCAGCATCCATGAAACTGTGGTAGGCTAACTTGTACTTGTAAGTAAGGTAAAAAATCACATCCTTCACAGTTCTTGACAACATGGCAAACAAGCACATGAAAAGTTGTTCACCATCACCATTCATTAGAGAAATGCAAATTAAAGCGACCAGGCGATATCACCACACACCTACCAGTATGGCTCTGGTAGCAAGGGTGCAGAACAATTAGAACATTCCTAGTGGAATGCAAATAGCACAACCACCATGGAATACACTTTGGTAGTTCTATAAAGAGTTAAATACACTCACTATACAACCCAGCAATCCTATTCCTGGTTACTTCCTCCTAAGGAATAAAACTGATCTTTACTCAAAAATTTATACACAAATGTTTCTAGTAACATTATTTATGATCACTAAAAAATGGAACAACCAAAGTATCCTTCAATAGATGAGTGAATAAACAAACTGTGGTACATCCACGCAATGGAACACTACTTAGCGAAAGAAAGAAAGAGCTGATATACCTAACAATTTGAATGAATTCTCAAAAGCTTTACGCTGAATGAGTGAAGCCTGTTTTTAAAGTTGACATATGGCATAATCAGTGTTTGTTAAGAATTAGGGTTGGAGGGAGGGTATCTATAAAGGAATAGCACAATAAAGTTTTTTTTACAGGTGATGAAACTGTCCTGTATTCTGATTATGGAGATGTTTACACAAATCTATACATGTTTTAAAATTCATAGAACTGTACACTCCCCCAAAATTCAATTTTACTTTATGATTTAAAAAAATCTTGAGAGGCAATTACTAGGGATTGGGGACAAGTGAAAAACAGAAGACAAAGTGATCAAG